GTTAATTAGACATTTGCTTCTAAACTTTTTGGTTTGATTCAAGGAGATATCTTAGGATTTTGAAGAGAATTTGGCCTATTTTAGACAAATATTGTCTCAACTCTGGCATTCTTTCCTTCATTGCACACATAATATTTTCTTCCATCTGGGAAAATAAACCGAGACTCAGTTTCTTACATATAACAAAAACACAAGACAATATTATGCAATATGTGCTCCTCGCTTCTATATGTCGTTCAAATCTTATACAGTTTCTTACAGACTGTGGCCATTAAAGATCCCAGCACATTTGGATATTGTAAATACTGCCCTAACCCTGGCAAAATTTCCTTTGTGAATGGTACTTGTCTGTCCTGATTAGCCTAACCAGGTGCAGTAAAGTTTCCTTTGTGAATGGTACTTGTCTGTCCTGATTAGCCTAAACAGGTGCAGTAAAGTTTCCTTTGTGAATGGTACTTGTCTGTCCTCATTAGCCTAAACAGGTGCAGTAAAGTTTCCTTTGTGAATGGTACTTGTCTGTCCTGATTAGCCTAAACAGGTGCATTAAAGTTTCCTTTGTGAATGGTACTTGTCTGTCCTGATTAGCCTAAACAGGTGCAGTAAAGTTTCCTTTGTGAATGGTACTTGTCTGTCCTGATTAGCCTAAACAGGTGCAGTAAAGTTTCCTTTGTGAATGGTACTTGTCTGTCCTCATTAGCCTAAACAGGTGCATTAAAGTTTCCTTTGTGAATGGTACTTGTCTGTCCTGATTAGCCTAAACAGGTGCAGTAAAGTTTCCTTTGTGAATGGTACTTGTCTGTCCTGATTAGCCTAAACAGGTGCAGTAAAGTTTCCTTTGTGAATGGTACTTGTCTGTCCTCATTAGCCTAAACAGGTGCAGTAAAGTTTCCTTTGTGAATGGTACTTGTCTGTCCTGATTAGCCTAAACAGGTGCAGTAAAGTTTCCTTTGTGAATGGTACTTGTCTGTCCTCATTAGCCTAAACAGGTGCAGTAAAGTTTCCTTTGTGAATGGTACTTGTCTGTCCTGATTAGCCTAAACAGGTGCAGTAAAGTTTCCTTTGTGAATGGTACTTGTCTGTCCTGATTAGCCTAAACAGGTGCAGT